TGCAGCGTACCATCCTCTGACTAATGGGCTGACCGCACGCCTAAACACGACCATCACCGACATGGTATCGATGTACGTCGACGTAAACAGAATACGTCGGACGATGTCCTGCCGTATGTCACGCTCGCCTACGACATAGCGGTTCAAGACACTACTGGTGCATGGTCAACTGTTACGTAGTCGGAAGGTGATTACGATGCTTGAGGCCATGCTACCTCCCAAGCCAGCTTGTGACGGAAGTGTTGTCGCCCAAGTGGTTGCGCAACAAGCAGAAGTCCGCCAGCTCACCCGAGTGCGGATCCAAGACTAGCAACGTGTCGGCGCTGGCCGCTATAACCTTCGTCGTCTAGACGTTCACATCCAGCCCGGAAACCGAATGTTGGTGTGGATACCGATACGATGTCATGACCTTAGCGCTCAGCGAAAATGTACAGCGCTACTTTGAACGATACGAGGTCCTTCGACGCCTGGGGGATCTCAACTACGAAGTGGTGCCCAAGGGAACGCACGGATCATCGCGACGCCGATTGCGGCCCGAGTAGGTTCACGCCTGTCGACTAAAGCTTATTCTACGCTCGACATGACTTTGGATTCTATGTGTTCCAAACGACTCTTTAGCTTACTTCTTCAAGGGGGAAGCACTGCCGCGCGTTCAAGTAGGCAGAGCACCCGTAACCGAACGGTTATCATGATTGGCTCCCACTCAAGAGCCAGGGTTCGATGTCTGGCCGCGGATTCACCTTTTTGTTGTTCATGTGTATGGCGCGTTCTTGTAAATTCGAGAACCCTATTGCTTATTCGAGGTTAGAATGTTCTACACGCCGAACTTTCTACGCTGATTGATCCAGAAGCCGACACGTGTACTGTACATAAGGGCCTCCGCGTGGCGAGCAGGGCTCAGTCTCTCCCCAGTGCTCGATCGTGCTGTTCCGCCGACACCGACAAGTTGGCCCCTTTAAACGTTTAGTTTCTCTATTTAATTCGCCGCCTCATCATTTGTAATTCGTGACAATGTCGAGCACTGGCTGAAATCGCGATCATCTGCTACTTTACGTTGGGAGTGATTGACAATCCGTCATTCCTTTGCAAACCTCAAGTTGTTCTGCTGCTCTACACAAGCTGATATCAACCGGTGAATGAAGGAGTACTCAGGACAAGCATAACAGTTGACGTGAGACATATGTTTCCGTTTGTTTGTTGGTTATAAGTTTCCACCAAAAAGCTTTCTTTGCGTGGGTTCCCAAAGTGGTCAAAAGTGTTTTATTGGTCGATAACGCGCACACAACAAAATGTTGGCTGCGCAGAAAAGAAGAGCTAACCACAGCTACCTTCTGCTTCGGGAACCCTACCCCTTATCGTGTTCCTCTCTAATCGCTATCGCGACGCTTTTCAAGTACTTGGATTACTCCTGTATACTCTGAAGCTTAGAGACTACCACGCCTGTGTCCTGTTTTTTAACACAATTCGCGATAAACGCAGAATTTTTCTCCCAACACAAACTGGACGCTGAAAAATACGGATCTCATGAGAAGAGATAACTGTCCCCAAAGCTACAAAAATTCAAGCAAAATAAATGGCGAAAAGAGGGAACGTTTGTTCTGACGCAACTCCGAGTCACAGCACTTTGCAGAAGCCAAAGTTAGAAGTGCATCGGGCAAATCCAACATTGACGGTTATCCGTACTTTAACTAGACAATAATTACACGGTTTGCAATGGCTCGACAAATTACAGGGATGCTTCGGGATGTTTTGGCCTTCTACGCCTTCTACGTCGCAAAAGGTAGTACCTCTCAAATAAAATTAAGATCTATCTTCTGCAAATTGCGGGAATTGAGTCACGTAAATAAAAATGTTGTTTACCAGAATTATTTTTGTGCTGTCACCATGGTCAACTTTTCGAACTGAATAAGAAGGCTCTTAGCGTCCGAAATAGTTTTACTTCCGTATTGTACGTACCTGTAATCTAAGCTGCAATGAAATAATCTTTTCCAGCACGCCATTTTGCTTCATCAGCGCAACCCCCTTTATGTGGCTAAAGTAGCGAATAAACTTCGGTGCACTCTTTTGTCGATATATCAGAAATAAACGTGTCTACCCTTAGGCTATGATGCCAGACTCAGATGCCAGCTGAAACGTTCACTTTGAATGTAAAACTCTTACTTCTGTCCGTGGTTCTGCTTCGTTTTATAGAAGATAGAACATATTAACTGATGAATTTAGGACACTATTAGTACATGCTATAATATCACGGTTTGCGTACCTGCGAACAGTGATGAAATACATAACTAGATTACTCAAGGCTCTTACTGGAGTTGAGACATGAAAGAACACGGCTAGTTTTAACTGACAAAGAATATTCAGCCTGAAGAATCCTTGAAAGAAAAACGTTGTTGAAAGAAATCGGGTACGCAGTTAGACTCCAACATTTCCCGTTCTACTATATTTATTCGTAGGCGCTATAGTTTGTTGCAAGCTAAGAATAGCCTGACTAACCCTTCCCTCAGATTTATCTCCTCATTACGATTGGAAGTTTCCTCCTTTCCAGCTTTATCTCTACTAAAGTCAAAGGAGTGGAGGGCTTGAGGGAGCAGGTTTTCACTATATATAACCACAATTTTTGTAAATGCGTAAAGTTATGGCTTTAGGGGGGTCATTATTTCCACAAAAAAGGACTCTGGTAGAAACACTTTTTAATTTATTGATGTAATTACTTAGACATGTGTCTGGCTTATATTCTAAAATAAGTGACCACTCCTATTATGTATTTATGCAATCCTGCATGCCACGCTGACTAATAAATCAGTCATAAAAGGACGTTTCTTTTAAATTCTTATTTCTCTTGTTGCCGATATCGCTACCGATATCAGCTTTATGTAAGGCACTATAATGATTCATTAATAAACCGATTATTTCACCTATTTTTGCTACAAGTAATACGAGCGCTTTTAGTTACGATCTAATGGTAAATGTTGCCGAAGAGGGGCATCTAAAAAATCTGAGGTACGAATATTAAAACAAAATAAATATACAATAGCCGTGATAGCAACAAATGTCCCTGCAGAGTATCAATGTAAAAAATATGATCCATTCCACTCTGTGAAGGAGGATGACCATCGAAGCTGTTTTGCACACGACACAGACCCGCCCCGAGGAGCCGGAGGAAGCGAGACACGCGCGACGGGACCGCCACCCCGGGAGTGCGGAAGGAAAGGGTGGAGCGACGACAAAGAGAGGGCGGTGCGAGCGTAGACATGGCTGACGCGGGTCGCACAGCTGCAAATCTTTGAGAAACCTTCACTATTTACCAGAGAGTCTACTGACCTTGAAAATGGTGCCTAGTGATAACTAATCTAGTGAATAGTTTTATTTTAAAATTACCCAAGCATCAAGGAGGATGCAGGGAATGATGTTTCATGCACCGCCCATGCGGGCGTCTGCAGCAGTAACTGTTCTTATGCAAAAGCCGAAAACAAATGACGTCTTGCACGCGCATTTGTCACTGCTTTATTTTGGTTATTTACTTCGAATCGTTTATAATGGGAAGGCGTGCGCGTGCTGCGCCGGCGTCTGCAGCAGTAACTGTTCTAAAACAAAAGCCTAAAACCAATGACACCTGGGACGCGCGTTCGTCAACGATTTATTTTGGTAATTTACTTCGAATCTTTTATACGGGGGAGGCATGGCCGTGCGGCGCGTGCGGCGGTGCGAGCGTAGAGTATTTAGTCAGTGCACACAACAAACCCACGGAACCTTAACTATAAACAGCTTCGCTGAAAAAAGCCGAAGCAGGACAGATTTGGCAATCATTGGCCGATAACCGGTAATGCTCATTTGGCCTGTGGCCAGACAGTGGCCAGCCACTGGCTGACGACTGGCCTTTCTCTGGCCATTGGTCAATGGCCACTGGCCATGAGCCATCGGCCAAACCTTGACCGATGAATGGTCACTTTTCGGACATTGGCCAAAACACCATCGCCAGCCATTCGCCACTGCTTGGCCGAATTCCAAGCTGCTTGGGAACTCGCCGAAGACACTTAAGACTGCTAACGTGTGGGAATGCGAGAACATTGTTGCACGCAAACAGCGCGCCACGTCTTCTTTTCGCACACGGCGCTCTGGAAAGTGATATCACGCTCTCCCACTGCGCAGGCGCGGCGAACACCGCCGGCCTTACGTCGGCTTCCGTGGTAAAGCATCTGCGTTGCTGTGCTTTTCTTTGTGTTTCATTTCTCACGCGCCCGCTTTGACCTTGAGGGCACCCCGCCGGCTATCGTGAGGAAGCATCTGCGTGGTTGTGCTTTTCTCATTTTTATTATTTCAGAGGTGCGTGCTTGATGACGTATTTTGAGGATTATCTTTCGAGGACAGCGCGACCGCTTTCTCGCGCAATGGGACAAGTAAGGATTTCACCTTAAAAATTTTCTAAAGGTAAAACAGAGCTCGTTCAAAGCGATACGTCTTACAATGTTGAATACCGAAGCTAGTATATCGCTCTAGGTTCGCTTCCTATAACCAAGTTTTAGCGTACAAATTAACAAATCGAATATTTATATTCAAGTTTTAACGTACAAATTAACAATTTGAATATTTAGTTTGTGGTAAATTTTTTTATATAAAACATTAATATGAACAAAGCTTGACGAATCTTGGTTGTACCGAAGCGAGACAAATACTGTAAACGGAAAGTTACTGTAGCGCCCCATAATAACTGAACTGAACATTCGCATAAAAGCACACAACCAAACAAACAAACAAAAAAACACGAAAGTCATTGTATTTCTGAATTCTTGCGATTTACATAAGCAATGGAAATAAATAAATATCAGGCTTTAGAGTACGATGACATTAGCAATGCCCACGCTTTCCTACCAACTGCGTAAATAAATGTACGACGTATAGAGGGGTCTTGGCTACATTACACAAGAATCGTTGTATAAAAACCACGTTATAACACCGATCGCTTCACATTTATTCCGGACCGAGAGCATAACACTACTGAAATGAACGCTATTGTCTGCATCTTACATTTTGGAGTTGCTTGGATTGCACTTGGTAAGCTATTTGAACGCACAGACAACCTCATCTTAAGCATGCAATATAAAAAAAAAATATATATATATACGTGATTTGAATGGAACTTTAAATTATTTTTTCGTCGACGTTCTTCGTTCTTCGCATAAAGCGGGATGCTGAATGTGTTTTGCTGTTTCTGGTCTTGGGAGGCTTGTTGGCATATCTCCCTTGAATGCTTACAATGAACCGTTATAATCTTTTCTGTGGGTTATATTTTTGTTCTAAATGGCAACAGAAAATGTTTTGTTAATGCTGTGTTTGGATCGATGGGGAGTCCAAATTAATATTTTATATATATATTTTTTTTTGTTTTCCTCCCCGTTGAGTCACCTCACACGGCGTAGAGTTGTAGGGAGGGGGGGGGGGGGGGGGGGGGGGGGGGGCCCGGAGGTTGCCGCCGAAACTCTGCCCGAAAACGGCGGCTGACCTCTTTCGTATTCTGGCACTCCTCGTACCAGTGAGAAACCTTCACTCGCTCATTGGGACCCACGCGCTCCGTCAAGATCACTTGCACCCCAAAACAACACAGACAAAAGTTGCAGAGAAGGAAAGAAAGGCGGTAACAACCAGCGAGGGCAAAGCAGACGACATATAGCCAAATATAACTGTAAAAAAAAAAAAAGAAATAACGTGCTTTGTTCTTGTTTTATCTCCATGTTTTATGTTTTATTCGTATAATAAAATGATGATCGCTGACAACTCGTGCAGAAAAAGAGCGCATCGCTTCTGGCTCAGAACTATTATCTGCTATTGCCGAGGTCGAGCGGAGCGCCCATCGAGGCCGCCGGCGATCTTATGCTCCGCCATCTGTCGGCTGTTGCGCGAATCAGGCGCCTTTAATTAGCAGAAGGCCGCCGTAGGTAGAGATTTTAAGTTTAAACGCAAAAGTGTTAAGTGTTCCTTGGAGCGAGCCGACGTCATCAGCTTTGAAGTCGCGCCAAACGGCAGCTAAACTGCCTCCTCCCAATGGAACGAAGTGAAGCCTCAATCTGAAGGCTCCCAGCTCTGAAGCCGCGCCAAACGGTAGTTAAATTCCCCTGTCGCAATGAAGGGAAGTAAAGACGCAATCTGACGGCTCCCAACTTTAAAGCTGCACTAAACGCCACGCAAAACGGCAGCTAAATTCACCTCTCCAAAAGGAGTGAAGTGAAGCCAAAATCTGGTGGATAGGCTCCCATTGGCTGGCGTGCGTCATAGTTTCAAGGAACGAGACTCCCATTGGCGGGCGCGCGTCAGTTTGAAAGAGCACCACGCCATGGTGCTGCTGGCCCGCGCCGCAGCGCGCCGGGAAAAGGAAGTGGCCGGAGGCAGGACTCCGGGGTCTGCCCGCTCGGGCAGACTCCGGAGCGCTGCACGGCTAATGTCAGCGCGGCACGGCCACTTCACGAGAGCGCGCGCTCGCCCTTCGGCCGCAAGGTCGGCAGTAGCGAAACGTGGCCGTCCGCGCCAGTATGCCGTACACGAACTAAGGGAACGGAAGAACGACATTTATGCTTTCACAACTCATAAGAAGTGCCTAAGTGTACCTCCAAACTTCTTTAATTTCGAGCTTTCTACTCAGGTAAGTTTGTTCAGTGAAATTTTTATACCCTTAATGGTGAATCCTCGGCCACCTCTGTGTAAAATCTTAACTGGAAACCTTTGGCAACCAAAGTATATGGGCCCTTGATAAAAGCCATGACTCATATTTTTCCTTGTGAGCGCGTATCAAACGTAGGCCTCATGCTTATAGTTTATTACATGTAATCGTTTTTTTTTTCCTCTTCTTTAGCTGGGTGGGGTACGTCAAGCTCTGCAGCAGGTAAGTGAGCCATCTTATTAACAGCAATAACCTTTTTTCGTGCCATTCTCTAACAGCGACTTTGATTTAAGGGATTACCCTGAATTTCGAGAAACATTTCATACTTCCAAAAATGAATTTGTATGTGATTGTCGTAAATGAAATAATAATTTTAGAGATGTTTAGTTTTGTATTTTACCAATTGATTGCTAAAAGTTGTGACGAAAATTTTTTTTTTTTTTTCACACCACAAAGTGTTTTAGGTCTAGTTTCTAAGTCTAGATTACCACGAAACGTTGTCAGAGAAGCATGATAACACGGCCAGTTATTTTTTTTTTTTCTGCTGCGGATTCGACTGCAGAATTTTCATGATTTGTGGTCCCGTGACCATGTGATTAATGCTAGGGGTATATAGACTCCAAATTTGGTGGACGTAGGGCCACTAAATTTAGCGGAGGGAATGAGTGTAATCACGCAATCAGCCTGATAGTCGTCATGTCATCATTAGGGACAGCCTTGCTACTTCGTCGCAAAGACCAACATACATTACTTTTTCTAAGCGCTTTTTCGCACGTCCCGACTTCAAGCAGCAAGAAAAAAGAAAGACTTACTTGAAACCGATCACCACGGAGAAGAACACAGGATCCACAGACATCCGAAAAAAGCTACAGTGGCAACAGTCCCACCAGCCAAGCGACCGCCAAGAGCTAGCTCGGCAGAATATAGGACTAGTACCGCGCTCTGGCCTGCTCCGACGCAGCGTTGCTCTGACGTTCCCTGGCTAAGACCGTCTGCCCATGATTGACTGGCGTGCTAAATGGAATATTCCCGCGCGACCCTTGTGGACTCTTCCCGCATGAATAGTTTGATCGCTAGCCTCAATCTCGATTAAGAGGTCAGTCTCTTCCCCTTGTTACCCCTTGTTTTCCGATTAAGCGGTGAAGAGCGCTCTGGTTGAAAAGGGACACTCTCATTCATTATATGTATCTCATTCTTTTGTGTGATACAGAGCTCATATAAACACCGTATGGATCACCTCCGCAACTTTTGGTATGCTGTCCACTTTGTTATTAATACAGTATGTCCTTTTTATTTCCACACGACGGTATGTCAACACTGTCAAGCTAGAACAGGTCGTGGGAGTTACGCGATACCGGTCTAACCTTCCTCTGCTGAGTGACAACTCAGTATCGAATTGCAATTGTAAAAGATCGCTCCCAAAGCGCTTACCAAGACACGGTCTATCAGCGCGAATCCAGCGCTTTGATCAAACGCGTGCGTCCGCTTCGACTGTAGACAGATATTTACGTGGCTTTTGCAGACACTCCCATACTTCAAACTTATCTTCTTGGACATCGGCTCGCTTCCTCATCTCTCACGCCGCGGAAAACGCCGCGGCAAATTGTTTCCATGATCGCCGCTTTGCAAATGAGCGGCACCGGCCATCTCCATTTACCAACGATCACAATTGTGTTCACTGTGTGGCAATCGAGCTTTCATCGACGAAGGCGGTTATCCCGGCCTCAGAATTCGGGCCCAATTAAATCATGGTAGCGTCGACATTTCACTGCACGGATACGATCCCCAGAGAAGCGTTGGTGGAAAGACCGCCTGCCATTAGTATTATTACAAATGTTGCCGAGGACGCTGTAACAATAGCTTTATAATAGCTTTATTTACCATATAAGTATGGTCGGAGCTGAGGAAAAAAACTTTCTAAGCAGCTTGACTAGTCCTCAGCCCCCTCACATGCCTCGCTATGGCGACAGGTATAGTGGGTTGCTATGCCTGTCGCCATAGCAACCCGCTTTCGCGGGGATGGGGTGCTTGCGGGACATCGGAAGTTCGAGTTTTGACGTACGAGAACGTCGCTCTCCTCCTCTCACTTAAGAACGTGTTCGTGAATACTGATTTATCCTTTTCTTTGATGTTCGTAACTTTCGAACTTCTTAACTTTCTTCTCCTCGTGTTTAATAACCTTTGTTGGTTTGTCTTCGGGTTCTCAAATTGTTTGGTTTTTGGTGACTCAAACGTCTAGCCATGAGTATCAGTAGGACGGCCACTAATTTTAATCAATATTTGACGACGATTCAACAGCGTCAGTCATTCCAAGACAGCCCAATATACACTGAACAATTCGGGTTATTATTAAGTACATGTTCGAAACAGGTTACTTATAGAAAAGTAGACCCCTACCCCGAGACGCGGATATATACGAAAAGACAAACGTCAAGTGTCATGTTTTGACTGTTCTTATCTCCTGTAAAGGTTTTGCTATGCATGCTTCAACAACTTGCCTGCACTTTTGTCCTACGCCCAATGTATGTCAAAAATGTTCCAAACAACGCACTAAACTAGTAGTGTCTAGAAATATTAACAAAAAATTAGTGATGAGCGAATGACTACCGACAAACAAACGACAAAAAAACGACAAACGGCGTCAATACTAACGTGTTCAACTAAACATATATACTGTAAGAGTTCATGAAAGTTAACCTTGGACTTATAGCAGCAAAAAATTGAGCCAATACTTTGAAAACAATATTAATCTAGAAATTCAATAAAATTGAAACCATAACTAAATTTCAAACTTACTGTTCCGCCATCTTGTCGTGACGTTAGATGTAAAAACACCAGCAAATGGGCAACTTGAGCAGGTTTCGCCCAGCGTAAAAAGAAGTAAAAAAACCGTCGCGATCGTTAGTGGAAAACAATAAACTCGAATCATAATGTTTGTCTGATTCAAGGAATGACCCACAAATGTTTCAAGATTTTGAGCACGAGATTGACGAGATTTCGGACAATTTGCAGTTAGCATCCGACCCGCCGCCATCGCCTCAGGAAAGATCACCCACGGTAGCTTCATACACGGTCCGCAGACATTTGGACCCAAATGACACTTCAGTAGCAGAATGGTACGGAAGGTTTTGTTTGGTAGCACAGTGCCAACTGTTTGCTAGCATGACGCGAACACTGGGAGCCAGTGATCGCGTCAGACTGCTCGGACCCACTTTCGTCGCTCACACTTCTCATAATGTAGGAAACCCGAGACTGTGGTAAAAGCAAAGAAGCGGTGTCGAAAGAACGTCTCAAGTTTGTTCGTTTGTCTTTCTTCTTTGACCCCGTTTCCCTGCTTTTACCACAGTCTCGGGTTTTCTACATTATGATCAACATCCACCAGCTGGCCTGCGTACTCACTGTTTTTACACTTCTCAGTCGGAAACCGATGAGATGTCACTTCGCCGTATTGATTCAGGGAGTTATTGCACCCCACAGCACACTGTCCCTATTGCACGCGTTAGGTAGATTAAACCGGACGCTATCTGTAAAACCATAAACGCTCTCTTTCGCTTCAACGCGCAACGGCGTAGATGAGGGTGCGTTTGCTTTCGGAAACATTTGACGTCATGATAATCACAGCGCTGCCGCTGCGCGTATTTGCCAATAAGCGCAGCTAGTGATTCGGTGGTGTACGTGTGAACTTCAGAATACGGGTTCTCGTAAAAACATTATATTTTCATTAGGTATTTGGTAAACACTCTTAGGGGTCGATATTTAGTACATGCTGAAACTTTTATAAAAGTCAATGAAATTTAAGGTTTCGCCTTTAAGAAGATGACAGTTTCAAACTGAAAAAGGCCCCTAAAATCTTCCAATTTGAAATTCTAGTTTTTTTTGTTTTCACAAAAAAATTTGAATTTTATACATTGGTTACAGTCCTTCTTATGGCTTACCAGGAGGGGTTCAGCATTCATTCGATGAACACAAATGATTGGAGTTATGAGTATTCTGACGCCGAGCTATCGGCAGTCTCTTCTTTAAATACACATTCTATGCTATGAAATTAATATATAGCTTCCAGTGATGGGCAGTAACTAAAATACATATTTCAAAGTACGCATTTAAAATTCTCTGAGTATATTTGCATTCTGTGTTTACCTACGTATTACAAAACGTATTCGGGGATGAAAATTAAGTACTGAAAAATTGTCCTTTCATGTTCTATTTTAATTAGATAAAATATTGGGTCCTCTTCAAACGGATGTAAAGATAAATGAAACCTTTGAACATTTAGACAGCGAGATGTTGGTCGGCCACTGAGATATGGCTACACTGGTCATTGCTCTAGTAGCGCAATTTTTGAAATACGACTGCTAATATACCCTCTTTGAAGGACCCATGCAAAGGAAACAAAAAACTTTTGTTTAAACAGGTTAGATGGAAAAAGAATATTATAAAACGAATTTGCAACGAAGAAAAAAAATTTAGAGTTATATTTACGGCGCAAAACAGATTTGTATTTGACGCCCGCGGGAGCCGCCGCTGGTCACGTGGTAGCCCTGTGAGCCACCGCGCTGCGTCGCCGCCGCCGCAAAGTCATCCCGCCGCCGCACGCTGAGCGTTGTGCGACGCGCTTCAACGCGTTTCTCCACGCCGCCGTTTCCGCCGCCGCACAAGTTCCTCTGCTTCGGGGCGCCGCTGCCGTCATCTGACCGGCGCACAGGTCTATCACGTCTGCTTGCACTTTTTCAGGGGTTTCCTTTGGGCTCTAAGAGTCTATTATTAATCTTAGTTTTTTGTTATACTTCAAACGAAGATGACCAAGTTACTTTTAGCGACCTTAGGAAGCTTCCGAAAGAGCGCAAGCACCACGTGATAAATATGTGCAAGTCACGTGACAAATATAGACAATTTTTCCGCGGCGCCCGCGGGCACCAACTAAAAATTTGTATCGCGCCTTAAATATAACTCTAAATATTTTTCTTTTTCGTTGTAAATTCGTCTTATGACTTCCTTTACCCAACCAGGATGTTAAAAAAAAATGTTTTTTTTCCCTTTGCATGTGTCCTTTAACGTGCGTCATGCAGCAGTAATGCTCTTTGACACCACAACTAGCAGGCGGTCTGATTCCTAGGTTTTGCGACGCAGGCTTTTTCTTAAAAAGAGTCGAAAGAGGGTCTGGAAAGAAACGAGTCAGAGGTGAATTCTAGCAGATTTATGACATGTGTTTTCTAATAACA